GCATGCTCGTTTGTCAACCTTATTCTATAAAAAAAAGAATAATATTAAAAAATATTACTACCATTACGCCTGAACCGCTGTACGTATTCCGACGCCTGTAATTCGATATAGTATCAGAGCACGTAGCAAGGCAAAGCAGACGGGATAGGACTCGATGCCCTCGCCAAGTGACCCGTCGCGTCGGCCATCTCGTCTCCGATCTTCGCTACAGATTTATAGCAAACTTTTTCGGGGCTGAGTTAGCGCTAATACACACACATAAACACGTTACTCGGTGACTTTTATTCTATAAAATTATACGGGCAATGCCTATGGTATATATTTATTTGTAATCGCGTTCTCGAAAACAGCTCTTACGCATCCGATGTAATTTGCAATATAGGAATTTCCTGGGAGAAAAAAATCGTTGCAGCAAGTCTCGTTTCTGAGAAAATTCGTTTTCTTCGTGGGTTTACGCACAAAGCAATAAGCTTGATTGGATGCGCAATATAATTAGTATTTTGCCTCAGAGACCATAGTCTTAATGCCCCAATAGCTAGATCCTAGGCCTAGCAAGTGGGAGTACACAAATCTCGTATACGAATTCACGCATATTATTGTAATTTTAGGCTGTCTTATAAATAAAGAATAATTACTTATTATTACTTATTGTTATAATGTTTTACTTTACAAATTTTTCTGAATTACATCTATTCAGAAAAATTCGATTTTTTTTAACGCTGAGGTATTATAATAAACTAAACAACTAAAATATAAATAGAGCTTTGGTGAGTTTTATAACGATCAATAAATACGAGTTTGCTGTTTTTTAAACACATTTATAAAAAACAAAAGTATTTTTTTTAACGGGCATAGTCGAGCGGATTGTGTGAGAGAGTCATAGGAAGTGATATTAGACCTACATGATTAATTTAAAGTGCGCAGTCGCATTATAGCTTTAAAGTAATAATTATTATTAATATTCGAAGTTTTTTTTTCATTCATTTATTACAGCCTATCAAAAGTACACTGCTGAATATAGGCCTGTTCCATAGATTGCATAATAGGAGGGATACTTGCCTCTAGGAATGTTAGGGAAGTTTAACAAACCTATAATAAAAGTAGGCATTCTTCGTCAAATTAAAATAAGTTGATAAATATTCGCAGCTACTCAATGCGCATGAAAATCATTCAATCAGTGTTTTTAAAGCTATGATGTTAATATGTTGCGGTCTAAGGGGCCAGTATAATAGCTGAATGTTAGGTGTTCATCCAAGTACTCAGAGGTGGCAACGTATCTTAGCCTTCTTTGTTTGAAGCAGGTATGCAAGGGCTGCACTTACCTTGAGGTGGATTGTAAGTTCGATTGTCACTTCTGTTATAAAGTTTTATAAAAAAAAAACTCAGAATAACATTTTTTTTTACTATTATAATCAATTATTTATTAATTAAAAATTAAATCAATAATTTCTTTCATCATAATTTTAATTTACCGTTAGAATACTAAAATATTATGTTTATGATTTCGAATAAGAGAAGAATACAGATACAAGCTTCACAATATCGTTTAGTATTAATCCATGTTAAAGAAATTGGTGTCAATGCTCGCTGCGGTTGCAGTGTTCCGAAATTATGTGTTGGGCAACGCGCGGCCGGCGGCGGGCAGCGACCCACCGCGGATTGCGCCCGCGCCCTTCCGATCGCATCCAATCACCTTCAGTTCCCATAGCTGTTATTTTATATAAACTCGTTTCTTTACGAGTGAGTTATTGAGATATGTTGCGATAAGCTTTCCACCTTTGTGTATTTCGATCGATAGCTTATGCTCAGCTCGGACAAGATTGCATGAACGTCGCTACGCTAATTCATTTGAATCAATAAGAAGACTAAGAAGTGATGCTAATATGAAAAAATATGTTACGAATTGCTGTGCTAGTGTAAACGTAGCCTTTAATCGATAATCATATTTATCTAAAGTTCAAAATTGTTTAAGATCTCATCACCTACTTGTGGCATAAATTTCATATTCATGCTTTTCAAATTACGGTTTATTATAATTAAATTAACTGTTACTTTTGACACCACATGGAAAACAAATGGTACGCCAAATTATACTTGGGAAGTGGGCTCCCATTGTATTCATTAAGAAAAACGGAGTCTCCCACTTTGTGTCAACCAGCCATAACATTATTCCGAGTGGGGAGTAAAAAGTAGGCTGAACGTAACGATACTTTGTTTGTAGAATTTTATAAAGATATGCGTTAAAATGTACAGCAGCTTAGTGATTTTGAATAGATTTTCTTTTAATTTAACTTGTACAAGTAAAACCAATAATATATAACCGGAACCAATTGATTATATTTATCGAAACTTTTCGTATTTAGCTCCAACGCAAGTCCCAAGAGGAGCCATCGACAGAATGAAGAACTCAAACACGCCTTAATGTGTCGAACACATATTTTCGCTAAAGCAAATAAATAGACGTTAGATAATTGTGTGCTCCCTCACCCTCTTAGCTGAGGTGACTTGCGAAGAGCGTCTAGACGAAGGGACCCTTTCTTATACATACCAACAAGCTCAACAGTACCTTTGATTTGAGCGATTTAGAAAAAATCGATTGTTTGAAAACAAGAGATAAATAAAGAAAGAGAAATCATTCGAAAATAATCCACTACGATTCTTAATTTAAAATGTAAAAAGCTTTCAATAGAAAAGGTAACAATAAACATGTGAACTGCAGCACGTACTCAGTGTGTGCTGATTGACGGCTTCGTATAGATAAGTTTCCACGGTACTATAGAGCTAAGGAATTAAATATACTAAGTAGTTATTGACTCTTATACTAAATGCCATGAAGTACAAGTTAACCACCGGTGCGAGTCAACCACAGCGTAGCACCTTTTTACGTTTAAAAAGACCTTGCGCTTCTTATTTACGGTTAAGTAAGGATATTTATAATAAAGTAAAGATGTTATGTTCATATATAATTCTTCTTCTTATGTGAATATGCTGTAATGTATTTCATAGGCGTTGCAAAGAAATTTAAAAACTTTAAAAATACACGTTTTATACTTTTCGACTCGTTAATGTTGTGTTAATGTTGTGTCGATGTTACGGGGCTGACAATGTTTTTTTTTCTTTTTGTTAACGGCAATGCATGTAACAACGCATAGCATTGTTGAATGAATTGCAAATGACAACGGTTCGAGAGTAATAATAAGTATGAGGATATATATCCGGAGTTGTTAAAAACAACGCACTCGTGGAGTGTGTACATCTCGGCTGGGGTGCGACGGCGGCCCCAAGCTCCCGCCCCCACTCGGGAGCGCGTCCTCAATGCTTACTTCCACGACACATTTTCCCACTATCCCTCGCTCCTCTCCCGCGATACATTTCTACGTTTATTACACCGCCCAAGAGCTTCTTTAGTATTTTGTTACAAGTACCTTCACTTCATTTTATTCCACCCCTCCAATTAAGATTGCAAAAACTTCTCGCTTTTGAACTTCGAATGAAAACAAAATATTTTGTGTCGCAAAGTTCAATTTAGCTTAATAAGCTTACTTTGTAACGAAATGTATTAAAAACTTCCATTCAGGGCGAAGCTTTTTAATACTTTCTATTTCTATTGCCTAAGTAGAAACTTTTAATTTTGATGGCGTGTAGGAAAGAAATATCTTTATAATCTTGTGATATGTACTATTATCACTATTATTATCCTAAAAGAGTCGAATCCAATAATGTGTATGCAAGATAACTGGATTAAATTTTAAGTAGAACATTCCAATAAATTTAAATGCTGAGCGGTGAAAAGTCAGGAGAAACATACGTACTGCTGGGAACATGACTCATAATATCATTTCTGAAAGGGGAACGAAAGTTTACCACCAACGCGAGCACGTTTTCCCTATATACCCTTTTAAGTGTATATATTTAATTAATTACTTGGAAATGTCTCCAACGATTTGGATAAAATGTTATCTTTACATAATGTTATGCATTCCAAGTTCATCTAGATAGGTTTCAATTGAGAAAATTATATTCCTTTCTAACGCCGAACAAAGCTTCATTGATGCTGGCAACAATTAATTACTCGCATACTATGAAATTTGGTCCTACGCCTAGCTCTTGAGCTCTTACATTTCCTACAAATAATGAATTTTCGTAATTTATAATTATTGTATAATTTTTCTGTAATTATTGTATGTAATATAACATCCGATACAATCAAAACCATACAATATGAAGTATGTGAAGATAAATAGATTCTGTCATTTTCGCGCTGATACGACAATATATTTTAATACGTACTTGAAGCGAACAATTATTGTATATTAAACAACTTTATCTCTATCAGCCCGTAAAAGTCTACTACTGTGCATGAGCCTCTCTCGTTTAATGTAGGATTGTCGTTGACTTCGATTTCTTCGATTCTTCCATTCATTTGGATTTACATGTGAAGTACCAGACGTCGCGCACCTTAAATGCTGCGCCCTGTCACGTCATATCAAACATTATGGTAACACACATAGGTATCTACAGGAACTCATGTTTTTGTTGTGTCGTATAGTCTTACAACAGCAACGGGATTAATGGGGTGATAGAGAACAATGTAATACCTATATGGTATTTGTAATTAGTTTTTTGGAAACGGCTCTAACAATTTTAATGAAATTTTGTTTTGAGATAATGTTTCATTTTACAAGTTATTGCGTCATCCCTGAGTAAATTATAGTTTTTTTTTATATAATTCATAGTTGTCACTTCTGACTTTTGACTGCATAACCAGACGTTACTATAATAGGAATTTCTTCCTAAGAGGGTATTTTTGTTTTATTTGCTGAGATATTTTAGTTCATTGTACGGATTTTACTTAATTCATATCATTTTATTGTGCATGTAGGTTTAGCTTAGTTATTGACAGAACTCCCCGCTGAGTTTACAACGTGATAATGAGCTGGCGATACGCGGCTGGTTGTAATTGATTGGATTGTGTGATTGTTGCAGACGGGAGGCGGCAGATGGATCGGAGGCGCGCGGCGGGGGCGCTGCTCGCGCTAGCCGCCTGCATCGCCTGCTCCACGGCGGGTGAGTCACAAATAGGATTCCCAACTTCTTAAAGAATAGTTTAAGCATAATGTCTTTATTTTGTTTCCTCACTGAATATTTTATACGTGGTAGAGCCATGCTGCAACTAACTAAAGAACGCGGACATCCTCTGTGTTTTGTATGTTCAGTGTAGATATCCGGAGACACTTTTGACTGGAAACGAAGCATTCCATCGTTGTCCTCGGGGGGAAACAATGCATCTGCATTTTGATTCTTAATCGAGGATAGATGCAGATGTGTATGTGTCACAGAATCCACTCACCATCAGGTGGACTGTGTGCTCGTTTTTCGAATAGGATATTCTATAAAAAATATTTTTAAGAAATAGTAATAACGCTAATAACAATAATAGTCCCGTTAAAAACTCCAAGTTAGCTAAAAATGCTTGTTAGGAGTTCAGGTTCAGGGACAGTAGTCGAATGGCAGATTCGAATCACATATATTCATAAATATAATTAATTAATATACTTTTACGTTATACTTAACCATACGAAACACAGCTTACGCTGGTATTCTGCGAGAGCGTGGTCCTACCTCGGTAAAGCCGACCCATTCGTGTTACAACCATAGCTGCAGCGTGGTTCTACCACGTAAATAATATAAAATAGAAAAGAAAGAAAACGATTAATTATTCGACATTAGAATATTTAATTTGTGTTTATTGCCGAAGAACTGTTCCTAAATGAATTCTCAGGCCGAAAAGATTTCTTATGAATCCTTATTTTTTAAAAACGCGCAGTGATACAATTTTATAAAAATTAAAATTAATAAACCCAGAAATCGGAAACAACGAAACACAATAACGAAAACTGCAACTCGCACTTATTCGTAACCCTATACAGTAATTGTGACGACTCAGTTGCTTTTAATAAAATTACTAATGTATAAAGAATAGCTTAATAAGTGGATATTTGTCATTATATTTATAAATACTTCAGAAAATTTAAAAGGAATTAATAAGGGGAAAAATAAGTGACATGATGTCGTCTTTCGTGCGTGAAGGTCCTCCCTAATCCTCATATGAGGATCAATCCAGCTCCAGACCAAATAAGCACTTAAAATTGCAATTACAATTTTATTGGTATCTGTAGTTCGAATCCAGGTTGCACGAGTACCAGTGCTCAAATTTATATAGGTTACTTCCATTTATAGCTTTTCCATTCAGCATTTTACCATTAAGATCAAAAATATTTTTTTTTAGTAAGGTTATAGTTATTGTATATAATATATAATATTATCAATATTACAACATGGTCGCGAAGTAAATAACTTTACACATTTTTATTTACAATTACAAAACGCATTAGTTGCAAGTGCTAAATCTCAGTCTGTACATTTTTTAAGATTTATTCCATATATTTAATTCCAATCTAGTTGATTATAGAACAGGTTTTTCAGGGCGTTGATCTTTAAACTATTAATTATGCATAAACGTTGGTGCATCTGATTATTCTTTTCCGGGTAATTAAATAAAGGATTTTTTATGTCATAATGTATTAAATAATTTCGCCATGACTTTCAGAGAATGATCTTTGAATTGTAATTTTTTTTAATGTAATGTCAATGGACGTAGGTTACATTTGCGTTAAAGTGCCGAAATCAAGCTTACCAGTTATCGCTATAGACCCCGATGTCTGGGCCCAGTTAAAACGAACGCTGCATGGTTGGACCTAACAGTAAAGGTCGGTGTGTGCTGGCTCGCAGTGCATGTTATTAGATAATGTTATTTTAGTCCGCAGAGATTTAGTATACGTGGCACGGTTACTTCAAAGAATTCGTGTAGAATTAATGGTATACATAGGAAGTACATTCAAATGCGGCCTACAATGTTTAGGTCTACCCGTGTGAACTTAATCACGCATGGCAACCACGGCGACATTCATTCATTGAAACAACAATCCATATTAATGCAGTGCAAATTTTAAATTCATGTTGCCTCCTTGTTTCAATTGCTTGGGGCCATGTTTCTAAGCGCACGAATTCGCATTAAGTAGTTTTTTGTTGATGCAAAGCCATTTATAACGTCACAGTTATACCTACTTAATGAAAACATTTCATCAAGTGCCATGGGAAAAGAAAAAGCTCCCGTGTTAGGTAAATTCAATCGAATGCAATTTATAAATAAATAGAAGGTAAAATAACAAATAAATTTACATAAACGTATAATATCTATTGTGAGATACGATAAATTCCGCTACAACTTTACACTCAAATACATTTTTTTTATTAATAACAAAGTTTTATTATAATTTATTAAAAAAAAATAATTTTGTAATTGAAATCGCGGCGAACAAAAACTGGATGCTGACGGCATTCCTGGCGACCGTTAGGTGGACGAGCTGGCAGCTTCGCGCACCGTCGCATGCAACCACAAGATCGAGCGGCGCCGTACCTTAACGGGTCGTCTGTGTGCCGCGCTTATCATACCCGGGCACACCGCTTTTCCTAACTTGCAGCCTACTTCCGTTGAATTATCGGTATACATCTGGACTTTACAAATTCTCGGGCATTTTTATAATAACTTGTATAATGGCGACGAAGTGGCGCAGTGGCTTAGCAATGAGGTGCAGCGACTGAGCAAGCCTGAACAAGTATTTGTATAGCCTACAAGTAATTGTTCTGGGTCTGGATGTTTGTCCTTGTGCAATTTATGTTTGTAAACTGCCTCCATTATACAGAATAAAATCCTTGTGTGGGAGTAACTTTTTTTTTAAATAAACAAAATGACAAAACGTCATTCCTGCGTCTAGCGGATAACATACGCCAAACAACCGTCTTAGAAATTAGGTACCCTATATTTGGAGTTATGACTTGCCCTAAGCCAAGGTATCGGATCAACGATAAAAATCGGTTTTAATGTTAACGACGCCAGCCGTAACTTTAATTACAGTTTTGTCACCCACAGCTTCAATAAAAGCTATAATATTTAAAACGACAGTAAACGATGACTGATTGCAGCACAGTGTCTAGCAATGACTCGCAAATTATGTCAATTTTTAAAACAGTTAAAAACTTTCTTAGGACGGTTCTTTAATAAATGGTACATTAATATTGTACTAAACACAACATAATGATGCAGTTTTAGTTGTTGTAGTAATATAATATACATATATATATTGCAAGTTACGCTTAATTATTAAACCCTTAGTTACTGGAAACGTTATTCACAATCTAATGTATAAAAATTAATTTTTATTTGTTCGTATTTTATGCGCTGCCATACCGTTCATCAGATTGCGGTAAAACTTTGTCAACTTATTTGGCGCGCGTATCGTACCAACAAATTTATTTGAAAGTTATACATCATTAAACTTCAATGAATGTATTATCATTCCTAATTAAACGATATATATAACTCTTCCAAATTTAAAACGATATTTCGGCAATTATTTTTTGTGGCAGCGTCGGGTACCAACTAGTAACCATATAAAATACATAATATAAATAACATTACGTTACATAAGTATAAATAAGAATTAATAAACATGAAATATTTAGTCTAATTTGAGTGTTTAATTCATATGTTTTTTTTTTCAGCACCGATGGCTAGCAATCACACAGCGTTAGATATGTACGAAGGTGAGTTGATAAATGAATTCTTACAAAAATTTTTGCTATTTTATTTTAAAAAAAAAACTATCCCTAACTAGAATTTGAATTCACGATAAGGTTCTTACGCTGCTGAATGGAATTTAAATGAAATAACTAATTAATTTAATTTATATTCTATTAAAGTACTAGCTGACCAGGCAGACGTTGTTCTGCCCTTTCCGACGACCATGTGTCCTAAAAAAAATCATTAAATTCACAATAAAAAAAATTGAGGGTCACTTATCGCGATAAAAACTGTCCTGTCTCTCAAGTTGGACCAAACTGCACACATTGTGAAACATTTCATTGAAATCAGTTCAGTATAGTTTAGGAGTTCATCGCAGACAAACAATGTGACACGTAATTTTTATATATAAAGAAGATGATATTATTTTAAATAAACGATTAAAATGTATACGATTCTTGTTTGAAAAGTCCACGGCTGCACGTGGGACTCTATCATTAGAGAGACTTTGCTTTTTTCGTCAGGACACTGTCTGGGGTGGTAGCATACCTACTGCTATGTTCCCATTTGGAGGCTAAATCAGCAAAGAAGTCTTATTTCAATCTACAATAACGAAAACGCATATGTAGCATTGTTTGTTTTAAGTAGGTTGCAGGTGTTCGGGGGTTACAGTGAGCATTTACAACCGCGGGGAATGTTAGTTCGTTTGTCACATTATAAAACAGGAGAAAATTGAAAAACAACACACTAAATGCCAACTAAATTATATTTTAGCTTTAATTGATAATTATAAAATATATTATATTTTTCTAACTTTTAGAAGTATCGTTGTTATCAGAATAGGCTTGAAACAATATTATTTTGTTATTAAATAGCACTTGTTTATTACTTTCAGGGACAATGGAAGGTTGTTATTATAACTTCCAGCACTACGGCGAAGGCGATCGAATAATGACGAACGAACCGTGTCTCAACTGTACTTGTCACAACCGAATGCTTATGTGCTACTTGAGGGTTTGTCCCTTCACGAAGGCTATCGGTCAGGATTGTACCGTAGAAAAACGCGCTGATCAATGTTGTCCTATTGTTACATGCCCGGATGGTAAGTATTTCTATCTAATTATTTATAAAACCATCTACTTACTTACCTTTGTAAGTGACATTCATCTTCATCGACGTTAAGCATTGCTAGGCGGTTTTAAAGTAAAAAATACTTTGCCCTAAGTTTGTCGCTTGGCAAGCGAATTGGCGATTGCAGTATTATACGAGTACGTCTAAATCTGTGATGATTATCATTGTTTTCTATTAACTAAAACATAAAATACAGAAAAGGCAACGATATTAATTTTTTTCTTGTTATCTTAATATCTCAGTAAAAAAAATTTGCACGACCGTATACGATATTTTCAACACAATATTACACTAGTACCTTAACGACAATTTATTATTTGCTTATTTTTCTGATTAGCTGATTAAGTATGTATAAAAGAACAGTTTACAATACACTTTACAATGACTTTATAAAAACTTTAGAGTTATCATTTCGCTTTTTGTTAAACACTGATGGATCTTATATAAAGAAACATTTCTACATCGTCCTTATAGGTGCCGCCTCAACAACTCAACACAATGAAACAAGCTTTAGATCGAATACGAATAGGTTTACACGAAGTTTTCTTTGTGCTAGCGTAAGCGTAAATTTTTGATACTTAGTGTGGCATAGTTAGCCTTTTGTTATTTGGAAGTTTTAATCGTAATCTTAAATTAACTAGAAGAGATTCAACGTTATCTATAGCTCTGTTTTACTGTATATCTGACAGAATAAAAACTAATTACTTATTTCATTTCAGTTCCAGTTGACCTATTGACATCAACTTCCACATCATCTCCAGCTGAATACGGAGGAACTGGAATAGGAAAACAAGACAAATATGGTTGCAGCATCAACGGAAGATATTTCCCAGAGGGTTCTAAAGTACCACCAACGCCGAACAAACCATGTGAACATTGTTACTGCATTCGTAATATGACTACTTGTGTAATGCAAGAATGTACCTTACACGTTGATGGATGTACTCCTATTTATCATAAAGATGTCTGCTGTCCTGTGAGATACTCATGTGGTAAATATCATATATATTTTTGCTTTGAAAAAAAAAAACTATTAAACAAACTCAATAAATTTCATTATAAGACATAATTTGTTATTGTTTCAGATCACCCAGAAGATGAAATACCACTTTTGGATGATATGACCACAACAGTACGACCTACACCCGGATTTTTACTTACAACCACCACATTAGCGCCAGTTACACAAGCATCTCAGGATTGTGTTCATTATGATCAAATATATGCCGATGGAGCTTTATTAAAAACTGAAAAGCCTTGCGAGCATTGCTATTGCATGAAAGGTGACATTGTTTGTGTTGTACAAGAATGTGGAACTCCAATGGAAAATGAGGGCAAAAATTGTACTTCACTTCCACCGCGACATGGGCAGTGTTGCCCAGACACCTACATTTGTGAAGTTAATGAACTAACCCCTGATTATACAACTGAACTTACAAATAATGAGATTTTTGAAACGACGTCGTCAACACCTCCAAGAAGAGGAGGAGTAGAAGGCAGTGGTTATAGAATTGAACCTGATGAACCATATACCGATATGCCAATTTTTGATATAATAGAAACGGAAGGCAGTGGAGAAGATCAATCAGTAATTGCTATCGATGGATCTGAAACAGTAACGACAGGAAAGCAAACACCAGATTTAATAGATGAAATGTTCTTAACCACAGCAAAAATGCCAGTAGCAAAACCTTTTACTAGTACAATCGAACCTGATATTGAACAGACTTCGATTTCGCAATTAAGTCCTGAACGTAAAAAACCTGAAATATCTGGTGCTGAACATACAACTCTTTATGAAAGTAATATAGTTACAGAGTCTTCAAAGATAGATATATCTGTGGAAGATGGACAAACGACTCATTCTGAAAACAAAAAAGTGGAAACAACCATCAATATACTGGACGATAAAGTTAATAATATAGCTACAGAGTCTTCAAAGCCTGATATATCTGCGGAAGAAGGACAAACATTTGATTCTGAGAACCAAAAAATGGAATCGACCATTTTTATACAAGATAATAAAGTTAATAATATAGCTACAGAGTCTTCAAAGCTTTATATATCTACGGAAGTAGGACAAACAACTGATTCAGAAAACAAAGAAATGGAATCAACCATCATTATACAAGATGATAAAGTTAATAATATAGCTACAGAATCTTCAAAATCTGATATATCTTTGGAAGAAGGACAAACAACTGATTCAGAAAACAAGGAAATGGAATCAACCATCACTGTACAAGATGATAAAGTTAATAATATAGCTACAGAATCTTCAAAGCCTGATATATCTGCGAAAGAAGGACAAACTACTGATTCAGGAAACAAGGAAATGGAATCAACCATCATTATAAAAGATGATAAAGTTAATAATATAGCTACAGAATCTTCAAAGCCTGATATATCTGCGGAAGAAGGACAAACTACTGATTCAGAAAACAAGGAAATGGAAACAACCATCATTATACAAGATGATAAAGTTAATAATATAGCTACAGAATCTTCAAAGCCTGATATATCTGCGGAAGAAGGACAAACTACTGATTCAGAAAACAAGGAAATGGAAACAACCATCATTATACAAGATGATAAAGTAAATAATATAGCTACAGAATCTTCAAAGCCTGATATATCTGCGGAAGAAGGACAAACTACTGATTCAGAAAACAAGGAAATGGAATCAACCATCATTATACAAGATGATAAAGTTAATAATATAGCTACAGAATCTTCAAAGCCTGATATATCTGCGGAAGAAGGACAAACTACTGATTCAGGAAACAAGGAAATGGAATCAACATTCATTATAAAAGATGATAAAGTTAATAATATAGCTACAGAATCTTCAAAGTCTGATATATCTGCGGAAGAAGGACAAACTACTGATTCAGTAAACAAGGAAATGGAATCAACCATCATTATAAAAGATGATAAAGTTAATAATATAGCTACAGAATCTTCAAAGCCTGATATATCTGCGGAAGAAGGACAAACCACTGATTCAGAAAACAAGGAAATGGAATCAACCATCATTATACAAGATGATAAAGCTACTGAAGATCTGTCTATGACAACTAAATCAACTATTGATTATATATCTTCTTCATTGTTCGATAATCTTACTTCTAAAGAAGACCAGTATGTTATAACAACAGAGCCTACATTAAGGAAAGAAGATGATTTTGATGTTATTACTGAAGTTACGACCCAAAAAGAATTTAAAGAAATAACTACTGAAAACCAATATTATGGGCAAAAAGGAACTATAAAAGACGATCTTGAAACGATAACCGTTACTACTGCATCACCTGAAAACAATTATCATAAACTTGAAACTGTAGGTGTACATGATATTGAGAATTCATTCCAAACTGAAAAAACTACAACGAACATTCCTTTTGACGCTTCCACAAAACCTGGAAGTGATAAGGATTTCAAAGAAAGCACAAATGAATATATTTCTTTTAGTACAATAAAATCAGATTTTGATGAAACGACCAGTGTAAACCCAATAGAAAATGAAATTAAAGAAGATATGTCCCTGGTAGTTCCGCATGGCAGAATACCAGGAGAAGGAGATTGTCTACTCAATGGTATTACCTACAAAAATAATACAACTGTACCTAGCACAAATAAATGTCAGACAAGCTGTAGATGCGTCAGCAGCATTGTAAAATGTGATCCAATTATATGCAGTCCGCCACCAGAATATGAAAATATAATGACTAATTGTCAACCTGTATATGACTCAGCTGAATCTTGTTGTCCTACTTACATATGTGATCAATCTAAGGAAACTATTTTACCAGAAGTTCATAGCCAAATGTCAGGTACAGATAACCCTAGACCAGCCATCACTTATGCGTGCAATGGAAATGAGTGCGAAGAGACTGAAGATAAGCAAACACCACCACCTAAACAGCACGAACCATGTACATCTGAAAATTGTGTTAATATGGTTGGAGAAAAACAACCTGACTGTGGAGAAAACGGATGCGAAAATGCAGAAAAAGCTCCCATACTTCCAATAAAACACACCGAAGATTGCGCTGATGGTAAATGTGATCAGGCAACAGCTGTAACACCTTGCGAAAGTGGAGATTGTATAACACAAAATGAAAATACTGCAAAGGAGGATCTTTGCCAAACTCAAGAAAATTGTAAAGACGTGCAATCTGTAATAACAGATGAAAAATCCTGTGACGGTGGCATTTGTACTCCTGATATATCTCTTGAAAATCAAGTTGGTTCTATTGAACAGGAATGCAAGAATGGAAATTGTAGACGAAAAGAAACATCGGAAGTTGCACCGAAATTACCTTCTTCATTTAATACTGAAAATATATTAATAGAGTCAACAACAGAACTTCTTGTTTCTAAAGATACTACAACAAAGACAAAAGATATTTCTTCTATGATCACCCCTGAATTTACCACAACCAAGCCTGATACAAAAACGGATACTGTTTTGGAACAAGGAATGGATACTTATGATACATCAAGTCAAATAATTGACGTTGCAATTCAAGAAGTAACTACAAAATACCCAGAAAGTCTTCCAGATATAACCGAATCAGAATTGGAAAATTTCACTTCAATGAAACCCAAAGTTGAAAAAATTCCCGAGAGTACAACACAAAATGCAATAAGTGAAGAAGAACATATGACTACAGAATCGATCCATAATTTACCGGAACCTGCACTCGCAGAAGCAAATGCAGAAAGTGATCAAAAAGAAACAAATATATCAAACGATGAAAATACTACGTTAAATGAACAATCAAAGACTCCCAACATAGATTCTCTTTTAACGACTGTGTCTGATTTAACAGAAACTCCTAAATTACCTACAACAAATACATTAGAATACACCATATTTGATCATGAAAAAGATTTAAGTCTGACAGAAACTCCAAATGAAATTACAACGCCACAAAATATAGACATAGATTTACAAATAACAAAAACTTATGATACTAAGCCTTTAGTCGAACAAGATGAAAAAGATAAAGAATATTATGACAAAGATATTACTACAACAAATATTTTGCATTTTGATAGTGAGTATACCACCGAAACTCCAGTAAGCAAAACTGAAGACACAGAGCCAAAACTGGTTGAAAAAATGTCTACAAAATTGCCGGAATCTTATGAATACGCGGATAAAACAACTGACAGTAATTTAATCTATGCTACAAAGAATATAATAGACCTCGTTGAAACAACTGAGCAGCCGATTGATAACATTGACACTCAAACTAAAGGAAAAATTTCTTCCGAAGTTTCAAATGTATTAACAACGTCAATCCACGGTGAAAGTACCACTGAAATCAATGAAGAATTAGAATTACCTGTGCATGTATCTACCGAACAAACTCTTGAATACACTATGGAAGAAAAAACGACTACAACTACTCCCGAGATAAAAAAATATGAAACTAAAGACCACGAAGCTACGGAAATGCCAGACTCACATTTAGTAAAGGAAATCACAACTAAGAAAACAATCGCAGAAGAATCTTTCACTGAATTACCAGTTACTACTACAAAAGAAACTGAAAAAGATTTAATGGAATCCCTAAATGGTAGAGGAACTGAATTACCAGTATATGCCGATGAAAAACAATCTGAAATCTCACACTCACACGAAACAGATCAGTATGGAACAACATCAGGAATTGGATCTGGTTTTGAAGAAACTCAAACTGAAATATCAAAACCCCTCAATAAGGAAAATACGTCACAAAGCACACTTGAAGTAAATATTAGTACTGAAACGCCTGAGCATTTTGAAACAGAAACAGTTAAAATAGTTACAGATAGCCCTACAATAATATTAACAGAACCAGTTGAAACGGATATGGGTTTATCAGTGGTAAGTCCAGAGAGAGATAATAACGAAGGTATATCTACTGTAAATACGTTTGAAAAGATTACTACTCAAGTACCTGAGTCGTTAGAACACCACCTATTCGATAAAAAAGTAGATGAGGTAAAAGAAATAGAACCAATTCATGAAGTAACTATACAACCAGGTCAATTTTCAACAGAGCAAGTTGAAGAACAAACAAATATTCAAACTGATTCTGACTCTGATACCCATAAGCTTGCTACAAAACGCCCGCATATTATACAAACAGATGAAGACAAGCCAACCACCCACGATAAAGAATATAATGCTCCTGAATATGAAACAGAATTATCAACGTCCAAAACTTATACCAAGGTCGAAGACAACGCAGAAACATATACTGAAAATTCCATTGACATTACCAAGCAAGCCGAACACCAAGGGTCCGACGAAGTTTATAATACAATAAAGCCTACGGAAATATCTGATAAAATGTCAACGACTTACAAACAAGATTTACCAATTTCGGCGACCACAATGATACCAGGAACATCTTCTGAAAATATTCTACACACTTTAGTTTTGAAAGAAAAGGAGGAAGTTACAGAGTATTCACCACCTTTAGTTACTGAAGATATGACAACAAAAGCTACACCAAAGGAGACTTTGAATGAATTTACTACATTGGTCACCCCTACTCACTCAGAAGAAAAGACAACTAAGTCTCAACTTGTAGAGGAATCAATTACGGAAGTGCATGAAATAACAACAAAAGGTATATCTAAAGTAGAAAAAACTACTATTACTCCTCATATTACAGATGTCACATTTTCACATGATGTAATAAATAAAGTAGAAGAAGACATACACTCAGAAGTGACAACAATGCATAATGCACCTGTAACAGACCAATCAACTCCTGGTTATTCAGAAATTGTGACACAGGATGACTCTAAATCACCAGATTTGTATGATGATACAAAGGCCACGACAGATAGTTCAGAAAATCTGTCCTCACATATGGATACTGAATCTGAAATAACAAGTGATCATTATATTACCGCCATTAATGAACAGGAAGAAAAAACTACAAAAGAACCAACAAGTGACAAACAAACATATACCGAAACACCAGAGATAACAACAGAAAATATTATTTTAACTTCACAAGATAAAGATAAAACAACAGTAATTTCCGACTTAAGTATGCCTTCTAAATCTGAACTATCAGAGAGTCAAGTCTACAAAGCTCCAGACGCTCCCAGCACACAAGACCATATTAAAACGACTGAAATTCCTAATGTTAATACTTTTGCCGAGCAACACGCCATAACTGAAGAGTCAGAACAAACAAGGATAACAACACCCTCAGGAAGCATTCACCTCGAAGAAAATATAGATAAAATAGAAGAAACTACTGAGAAAGTGATCACAGAATTACCTGAAAGGGCTACAGAAACAGAAGGTATCGAAAAAGTTACTGATATTCTTGTTGCCACAGAAAAAATAGAATATGTTACTGAGAAAACATCGGCGTCCCCGGCAATCGATTATATAGAAAAAGTGACTGAAACTACCGGACAGTCATACACTGGTGAAATTATAGCAGAATCACCAGGAAAACCTACAGATTATGATGGAAAAGATATACTATATTCAACTGGTGCACCTCAAAAAGAAGTAACAATACCCAAGGAAATTACTACCGAAGTAAGCAATGTTCATGAAAAGCTTGCCGCAATGACTCCAGATGAAAAAACTACTGAAGGAATGTCAATAAACTTGCCAGAATCTGAAACAGAAGGTGCATCTGGATTATCGAAATTAGATAAGGAAATGTTTACAGAAATACCACCACAGAGAGAAACGGAAAAACCGGGAACACTCTCACTAGAAACTAGTACGAAACAACTTCCGGAATCTCCTACTATAGAAAATGAAGAAAGATCTACTCCAGGAGGAGAAGTTGCTACAGTGATTGTTTATACGGAGTTGCCGCAACTTGTCACAGATAATATACGTGATAGTGAGAATATTAATAAAGATCAGAAAACAGCAGAAATTCCTGAAAATACAGCTACTACTCCATCTAAGCTACCAGAAGATATAGAAAAAGAAACGGAAGTTACAAACATTCATTACCAAGATAAAACGACTGAAAATCCTGAAAAGTATACTTTTGATAGCACAACGCTTGTTTCAGAATACCACGATGTAAGAATAACAACCGAAAAATCATTTAATGTTCCTGCAGAAACTTCTTCATATTTAGAAACAAGTACGGATGATAAAAATGACGGATTAGATGATAAGAAATATGCCACATTATCTACTGAAATACCAGAAACTTTAGTTAACAAATCTGTAGACATGGACAAAAATAAAATTCCTACAGAAACTCTTGTAATGGATTCTACAACAAAATCTTCTGTTAGCTTACCTGATACCAGTATTACAAAAATTACAGAATCTGCAGTGGAAGAAGATAAAAATGATTTATCTGAAAACCTTATACCTGTTACCTCAGTTGAACTAATTAATATTACTGGAAAACCAGACCAAGGAAAAACAGTTACTGCAGTACCTGATTTACATGCAACACAACAAAGCATAAGTGATGTATCTGATGACACAACAGAATTATTATGGACTGCCAAATACGAGACGACGTCAAAACCTGAGGTAGACAAAATTACGTCACAAAAAGAAATTCCTGATAAAGTGAAAGTATCTTCCAGTAGCAAAGACAAGATAAGTACTGATACAACAGAAGAATATACAAAATCCCCAGAGGAGACCTTTACAGAAATACATAAAGATTCTCTGATAACTGATCATGACATATTTACTACTGAAAAATCAAAAGTAACAGAAGAAACATATTCGCATGAAAATTATGCCCCGATCATAACTACTCCTGAAAGTCCAAAAACTCATTTAGCAGAATTAGAAACAAAACTGCCTGCATTTTTGAGTACGGAAAGTCAATTATCTGGGTCTACGGAAGAGATGCATATAAGTGATGATGAAATAGATATTACGAAGGCACCGGAAGAAAATCAATATACAACTGAATCAAATGCCATTGATAAGCACATATTACACAAGCAAACAACATATCAAGAAACCATACAAACCGAATCACCTGCGTCAGTAGTCGTATCATCAGATGAAAGTCAAGATTCACATGATGAAACAATCAATCTACCAAAAGAAACTTACCCTGACTATATTACCGAAAAAGTAGATCTTTCTACAAAGTCTAACGTAGGAGTTTCAGTAGAAATCAATACAGAATCAAATGTTTTAGAATCTAAACCTATAGATGAGACCTCAAAATTACCCGAATATACGAAGGAAACCTCTAAACCTAAATACGAATATGCTGAATCTACTCCATATTTCGTTGAATTAGAGGAACATACGCACAAGAGTATTCAAGAAACTGAAGTTACTCCGGAAGTATATCATGAAGAGAAAACTTCGACTCTTAGCTCAGAAGTTCAATTTACTATAAAAGAGCAATTTGAAATTACAACAAGCAAGCAAACGTTACTCGACCAAGAAAAGCTAACAGAGGATTCGATTAAAGAAACCGAAGTGTCGACAAAAGAAGATCAAGAGAAAACTACAACTGCCTCCGATCTTGCTGGAATAGATATTTTCCATTCTACATCTGCAGAACAATCAATTACAACTGAAAAAGTTACTACAACTACCAAACACACGGCAATACCATATGAAAAAGAGACTTCAACTTATATCCCAATAGAAGCTACAACGGTTTATGAAAAACAGGAAACGCCTAAATACGATGAACATGTTACAACAACCTCAGAACAAGAAAAAGAAAAAGAAAGCAGTAAAGTTACTTATAAACCACACGATTTTGAAGCCCCCTCACATGAGACTAGTCCATCTATAGAGGAAGAATTTATTCCTGCAGTAAGCAAAATTACAACAACAAAGATTACTGAAGATGTAACGACCCTGTCACCCATCCAGTTTGATAACTTTACAAAACGGGATGAAAAGCCAATCGAAGCAGTACAATCGACACCTCAGCCAGAATTACCGAAACCTGGTTTCAATGAAGTTCTACCCACTGATGATCTCTTACCTACAGACGAAGATAATAATTTCCCACCTACTGGAACTAGTGGATATGGTCAAGAACCTGATTATGGAGAAGAAGATCAAGCATTTGGGCCCGGAACTTGCCGGTATGGGGGCAAGGTATTCGTGTCTGCACAACAAATACCGAGAGACGATCCTTGTGATTTTTGTTTCTGCTTTAGAAGTGATATTATTTGTTTACAACAAAGTTGTCCTCCACCGATCCATGGATGTCATGAAGAACCTATTCAAGGATTCTGTTGTCCACGTTATGAATGTCCAGTTTCAATGGCTACTACGCTCAATATTACAACGACGACGACAACAACAACTACAACATTACCACCACATTTTCTGCCACATGCTTACAAAGGTGCAGCACAAAGAAGAGGATGTCAAATTAAAGGCCATACATACAAAGTTGGAGAAGTTGTACGTGCATCTTCAGGGCCATGTTTACATTGCACGTAAGTATCATTTGCAAGCCAATTATTCTCGTATCGCTACCGAATTCCTAAAAAGTTAAAATCAATTATTAAAGTAACAGATAGCAGTACTACTTTTATTGCCAAATAGCAGCGATTGCAGTACTGTGTTCTGGCATGCAGTGCATAACACAGGGCATGCTGGGAGTCATTCCATCTTATTCATCAGAAGTGACAACACACTATAGTCTTTTTTGTTTGAAGTTGGTTGCAGGTATCCATTGCAGGCCTCAGTAGCCACTTACCTATAGTTCGTTTTTGAATTTACTTTTATAAAAAAAAGTTAAAGGTAAAAAAATACGGAGTTATATTATATGAAGGCTATATTTTGCCTTGTGCGGGGATATGTTTACAAATCTAGATAAAAAAAGTGTTATGAAAAAAAAACTTAATTGCAGATGCGGAGGAGATGGTCAAATGAAATGCGATCCAAAGGCGTGTACTCCGGAACCAATGCTGCGACAAATGATAGCAGCCGCAGTATCGGCAAAGCGACGAAGGTGAAATGCTCCTGTGATTCCATCATTGAACGTTTCATCACTAGGATAAAACCTATGTGATAATTATTTCCATCTATTCTCCTATGCACAAGAATAATGCTCAAATTACGCGTTGGAGTAGTTTAAGATTTCGTGTCATATGTAGTAATTGATTTAATTATTAATGTATTTTACTCTTCAAAAAGTGTCGTGGCACGCACAACTCAAATTCAATCAATAATGTATCAACCATGACTGTGATTTAAATATTTAATAATTTTCTAAAACACCAATTTAAGAGTATACATTTTTTGAGTTTAGCAACCAATATTTTCATAATTTATTGTTATTTTCTTAAATAAACAGTGCCAAACGGTAGTGCTAGATTGTAAACGCCTTTATGATAAAGAGGTTTAAACATGAATTTTACATACAAGGAAACACATTGACCAACGCCAAGCTTAACTAAGAATAAATTTAATACTGAAATATTATGTTAGAAGATTGTAGTGGTGCATTGGTCATTGTAGATCGCCGAAATCTTGACCATTTATAAACTTAAATTGTTTTACCGATATAAGTTTAGTCAATTCTTTATTTTTACACGATGTTACGTAAGCAGTCTAGTATCGTGTAAATATGAAGGTCTATTAAGGATCCCCGATGTTGTAAATGCCTTACTTAATTTGTAATAATTTATATATTTTAGGTGTATAGTACTTAAGCCATGTTTTGAGTCCAGTGACTATTTTAATTTAGAAATAAAACGAAGGCCCTCTAAGATACAAGAAAAGTTCCAGTCGATGCACCATCTTTGATGTGGCTGCCTTGGCCGGTACTTTTCCTTCCTCGCGTTTTACAGAAAATGACACAGTATTGTCTTGTTTTCTTTAACTCGTGGGAAAGTAATGTTTGTACTAGCACTCTTTAATAAAAGTTTCATTACAATGTCGGCCACATTGTAATGCTTTTGTAAAAGCAATATGACAAGAATGATGAAAGGTATATTGTGAACATTTTTATATCTTTTTATAACAAAGTGCTGGTAGATTTTATAAAACATTAAATCACAACAGATCGAGATGGGTACGAAAGTTCTATAAGCTATTGTAATCGTTTTTAATCGTAGAAGTACGCGATTACATTAATTCGTACCAACCTTTTTCTGTGTTAGCAGGTTGTAGTTATATTTTTCTTATTTATTTAAATTTATTACAATAGCGTTAATAATTATTGGTAAATTCATACTGGTAATGATTTCTTTCGTTTCGAAAAGTTGATCGCGATATATATTAGTTCAACGATTACATACTTCTTATTTTATTATTTTAATCATCTCGTACCGAAAATGCATAGCTAGAATCTAGCAAATTGTACAACTTTGAGAATCGTTTTAAATAAAAAAAACTTCTAACTAATATTGTTTTTTTCTTACCCTTAAAACTAAAGTATCAAAGTAAAAGGCGGATATAAAGCAAATGTGTAAACAAGAAAAAAAAGTTGTTTCCTTTTTTTTGTTATCAACATTTTAATTCACTTAAGTTGCAAAAATTCATAATGTACCATTATTTCTCCGCCCAGCATTATGTTGAGGTCAGCAAAACACAAACGCTGATCTTCCGTGAATACCCAAACAATAAAATATATGAATATCAAAAAAAAATTAAGGTGTCATAAGTGAATGTGTAATTTTTATATTGTTCGATAATTACATCTAAATTTTTGAAAAAAAAAAGCTAAAAAAGAAACCTCTCTACTATTTTGTTAAACAGCGAAATTCTTGATTTTATTAACTCAAATTTCGTAAGTTAATAAAATCAAGAAAATTGTCAATTTTTAAATCTGCAATCAATCCGGTATGTAGTATAGAGAAATCTTAAAAAAAACTAATTATTATTAATAATAATAATAACATAATTTATTTAGTTCTAAACATAAACACAAATTAACAAAGCAAAATAAATTAATGGAATGGAACTAAAATGGCGTCTACTCAGCACAAATGTTACAGAAACAGTACAGTAGTGATAACTATAACGCTGATTTTCAGTAAACGCCAGAGACATAGGTGCAATAAAATAAATTTAACTAATCACAGGCTCCAACATAAAAATAAAAATAAACTCTTATAAAATTTATATATATAAATAACAGTAAAAAAAACTGTTAACATTTAGGAAAAAAGGCATAACAATAATAAGCCAGCGCAACAAAAAGCGTAACAAACGGCATATGCAAGGCACAAGGCACACAATTAAATTATTTAATAACATACAAAATTAAAATAAATGGAGAATTAAGCAAGTATTTTTACAATAAACAAACACAGTATACTTCATAAGAAAGGTGTGATACATCGATACAGAATTATACTAAGTTTGCAAATTTAAAAGATATTCTTTTAGTTTTACCTTAAAAGTGCGAACTGTCCTGCTGCCCTTGATCGGAGGTGGTATATTATTCCAACACTTTGTGGCAGTATACCGAAAGCTACCACGAAACGCAACTGTTCTGTGTCTTGTGTACAACAAGCGAACAGTTTCCCGTGAGGAACGTTGCGAGAAACTGAGCTTCTCATATAAGTATTTCGGTTGTTGATTTTGTAATATTTTATACAGTAAACAACTGTAGTGAACCTATCTACGAGATTTCATGTTAATAAGTTTGCTCTGATTTAAAAACGGTGTCACGTGACCTCTACGAGGAATTCGAAAACAGAACCTAGCGCATGCATTTTGTACTCGTTGTATAACGAGTTTGGTTCGCGCAAGCAAACACTCTCCCATGACAATATCAGCATAATTTAGCTTCGAGAGTATTAGTGACTCACAAAGTTGCACTCTCAATTCTTCACTAAGATATTGCCGAATATTATATAATATTTTTAATCTGTAAAAACAATTTTTTACTGTATGGGTAACATGATTTTCAAACCTTAGTCTACTATCCATAATTATACCTAAGTTACGAACTTCGGATACCTGCTCAATATAGATGCCACCAACAACAATTTTAGGCTTATGAGCATTCGTTCGTTCTATTAATTTCTTTGACCCCAAAATCATGAACTTGGTTTTATTTGAATTTAAGATGAGTTCATTATTATTCGCCCATTCAGCGATCATGCTTAAATCCTGATTTAGTTTGTTAACTGCCTCATTTGTATTATCCAGCCTAAATGATATGTAGACTTGAAGGTCGTCGGCATATAAATGATACTGGCAATATTTAAAACAGCTCGTAATATCGGCACTGTAGAGAATAAACAGTAAAGGACCTATAATTTACCCTTGTGGAACGCCACGAGTTGAAAAATGTTGGCACCAGTTTCATTTCGAAGTCTGACTCGCTGAGTACGACCATTTAAATAACTTTCAAACCACTTTAATGCGTTACAGTCAAAACCATAATACATCAATTTCGACAGAAGTAAAGTAGTATCTATTGTGCTAAATGCACGCGAAAAGTCCAGCAGTGTCAAAATTGTAGCCTCTCCTTTATCCTGCGCTGTTAAAATATCATCGACAACACTCAATAGCGCTGTAACCGTGCTTATTCCAGCCCTAAAACCTGATTGCTTTAGAGGTAAAATATTATTCTGGTTTAGATATTCCACTAATTGCATATAAACAGCCTTTTCAGCAATTTTGGATAAAAAAGGCAGTATACTTATAGGTCGAAGGTGATTTAGTTCTGCAGGATGATTATTTTTTGGTATTGGACTTATTACACCTTCCTTCCAAATGTCTGGGAAAACTCTGGTCCGTATCGATGTATTAATAATGGTGGTTATAGCACTCAAAGTCCGTGGCAAAGTTAAGAGAACCATATCTTTAGTAATACCGTCTACACCTATAGCATTTGTGGTAATATTTTTTAAAATTTCTGATACCAAGTTATCATCCACTAATTTTAAAGTAAAAACCGACGAATTGAAACGGTTAGATTCAAAATAGCATAATGTTGAAGGACTTACACTATCGCTTCCTGGTATGTGTAGAAAATGATGATTTATGATGTCAGGATCATTCTAGTTTGATGGCAATTCAATTCTTATTTTTGAAGTCTACCACAGTTTTCTTTATATTTCTCCAAGGTACTTAAGGGTTTTTTGAATTGTTATTAATAAAGTAACGAAAGTAGGCTGTTTTTTCACTCAGTATAGCAGCATTAACAGTACTCTTCAGATCTTTATAATATTTTTGTCACCTTTGGAATTAATGCCTTTACATTTTGCGTGAGCTTTATCTCTTAGCTTCATCATTTCCTTAATCGTTGCTGTGATCCACGGATAGCTATAGCCTTTTGTGTAAGACGTTCTTATTGGTGCATGAATATCAAACAAATACAATATATGTGAATTAAAAGCCGTTACAGTACTGTTTACGTCATCACAAAGCAACTCATCCCACAGTACAGCATCAACATCAGAATTAAATTTTGGTACGTTTATATCCTTAATTGGTCTATAAGTAATACATAATGAGAATTGCTTTGGCTTCTTTACGTTCAACTCACAAGATAAAAAAGCGTGATGACTCAGATCTGGCACATAGTCAACCTGTATATTAAATACATCACAGCTACTGTAAATCAAATCAAATAAAGTTTCCGAGTGATCAGTAAAATGAGTCGCTTGTGTGACGTACCTGCCTCAGAACCATACTCAGAAGAAAATCATTAAGCTTTTTTGAATTAGGATCTGAAGGTGCAAGCAAATTAATATTGAAATCTCCTAAAAAAACAATGTAGTCATAGGCTGAAAATGGACTAACTGTATCAGATAGATCCTTTATAAAATTATCAATGTGAAACCAAGGAGGACGATACGCGGTACCTATTGCAAGTTTGAAACCATTAGCTTTAACACTTAACCACATCCGTTCAATAGAAAGCGTACTCGGATGTTCCAGGACGCGAGCGTGGATACCATTTCTAATGTAAAAACCCACACCTCCTCCGCGTACTCGGATGCTTGCAGGACGAGGTTTGTGTCGCAGCTTGTATCCTGGAGGGGAAGGTGCG